TAGATAGATAGATAGATAGATAGATAGATAGATAGATAGATAGATAGATAGATAGATAGATAGATAGATAGATAGATAGATAGATAGATAGATAGATAGATAGATAGATAGATAGATAGATAGATAGATAGATAGATAGATAGATAGATAGATAGATAGATAGATAGATAGATAGATAGATAGATAGATAGATAGATAGATAGATAGATAGATAGATAGATAGATAGATAGATAGATAGATAGATAGATAGATAGATAGATAGATAGATAGATAGATAGATAGATAGATAGATAGATAGATAGATAGATAGATAGATAGATAGATAGATAGATAGATAGATAGATAGATAGATAGATAGATAGATAGATAGATAGATAGATAGATAGATAGATAGATAGATAGATAGATAGATAGATAGATAGATAGATAGATAGATAGATAGATAGATAGATAGATAGATAGATAGATAGATAGATAGATAGATAGATAGATAGATAGATAGATAGATAGATAGATAGATAGATAGATAGATAGATAGATAGATAGATAGATAGATAGATAGATAGATAGATAGATAGATAGATAGATAGATAGATAGATAGATAGATAGATAGATAGATAGATAGATAGATAGATAGATAGATAGATAGATAGATAGATAGATAGATAGATAGATAGATAGATAGATAGATAGATAGATAGATAGATAGATAGATAGATAGATAGATAGATAGATAGATAGATAGATAGATAGATAGATAGATAGATAGATAGATAGATAGATAGATAGATAGATAGATAGATAGATAGATAGATAGATAGATAGATAGATAGATAGATAGATAGATAGATAGATAGATAGATAGATAGATAGATAGATAGATAGATAGATAGATAGATAGATAGATAGATAGATAGATAGATAGATAGATAGATAGATAGATAGATAGATAGATAGATAGATAGATAGATAGATAGATAGATAGATAGATAGATAGATAGATAGATAGATAGATAGATAGATAGATAGATAGATAGATAGATAGATAGATAGATATTTTAGAAATGGTCTAATTAATGATTAAATATTTTGTTATTAACTGGGACTTTTAAATGGCAAGAAAACATCGGATGTTTTAAGGATCTATCGATTGACTTAATTAACATATTTTTATCTTGACGTTACCGATTATATAAATATATGAGTATAAAAAACGGCTGATCATAATAGGTCAGTCTATGTATATTAAAGCATGTATCTGTGTGTTTGGAAGCGCAATTGATTGAGGAAATCAATGAATTATCGTAGCACATGTAAGTTATAGATGATAGAATTGTTTCTACACAGTTTTTTTTTTCATATAGATTAGTAGGTATGGATAAACATATCGAAATTGATGCATAGTACTAACATGACTAGGTTTTCCCCAGAGTTCATAATGTTCCGAGAATAATGAAAGCGATATAAGTACTCTGTAAAATGTTTATAGTAATAATATTTACTTATATCTGTGTGAATATGTATATTTGAGTTATATCTATCGTTATGTATTGGTCAAGCCCATGTTTACTTAATTACCATACCTTTTTATAATTTAGTTATCGAAAGCTTGAATAGTTGATTTATTCCTCCGGATAGTGTCCCTAATCTTCTCGCATATATATACAAAATGTATCATACATAACGTCTGTAAGATATAGGAAGATTCATTGAAAACAGGTACATTCTCAATTGGTATTCTCTATACCAGGAATTGTTCAAATCTATCACAGTAAGAAAGATAACAAGACCTATGATATCAGCGAGATAAGTAATGGAGTGGATAACATTTATTATTACTCCATTGCTCTAGAGACTCAAAGATAAATACGCTATGTCCTATAATGACAGTCAGTAACAATCCTTCTAACTAATATTGATGCTCGGGACGAAGAAATCCATATGAAAAATTGATGAGATGTATCTCTTAAAAGCATTATTACACTAAAAATTCATTTCTAGAAGACATTTTGTTAAACAGTATATTAGTCACTAACTCCTCTAAATTAATAACTTTGTAAACACTCGACAATGATGCAGAGCTTATTAGTTTCATCAGTATGGGGTTATGGAAATTATTGAACTTGATTAAAATCACAAACCAATCCTAGTTAGACAACCATTGGAAACCTGGAAACACTAGACAGCTGCTTCATCCTAGTATGAGACCCCTCGGAAGTGCACATCCACTATCCCATATATCTAAATCGAACTTAAGACCTTCAATCGCACGGCCCAACTTTCACCGATAATGCTAGTTGAATGCATTTGGTCAACCATTATGACCAACCAGCATGAGATACTTCTCCCCATCGAAATAGTAACATTGAAACTCGTAGGTATATTGTTTCTCTGATGAAACATCATGTTTATTGTTTTATTCTTAGTGATTATTCTTGAGGTATCTAAGTACTATTACGACCTGATACTATTGTATCCAGAATATCAAATATGAAGCAACATATCCATTATATATTTATTGATAAATAAATAGATAATATAAGCATTAATAATTTTTGCTTCGTATATTCATTTCGCCCTTAATTTGACCTCATTATACAAAATAGATGGGAACAAAAAATATTTCTCTGTTAGTGATTATTAGTATGATTAATATTAATTTTTATACAGAGAGTAGATTAATATTTAATTGGGTTAAGCTAAACATATGATGATCCTCATTCGATCTGACAATATATGTATATATAAGGTAAGATGAAACGACTTAAAGTTTGCTTAATTTCCTTATAGTTAAAAACAGAATATTTATGAGGCTCTACGTTATCGTACCGTTGATACTCATGATTGGACATATATCAACCCTATTAGCATATGTAGACCCTAACCAAACAAGTCAATAGTATCTGTTTACAAAAAGTTTTTAATATAAATAAATAAAGCGAGAAATGGAACAGAGAATATACGTTCCGTTCCATTTGAAACTAATCAACTATCTATATAACTGTATCTTCGTTTTAACATCTACTCAAACGTCTAAACTTGGTCTCAATTGATTCAAACGGGAATGCATTATCTATTAAGCCATATAGTTCAAATAATCATTAAATAGACCAAAACACAATGAAATTATTCCTGTTCTCAAACTTATTAGTTGTATGCTAATGCATTTATTGTATTAATGATGTTAATCTGCTTAAACGTGAAGCTAGAAATTATTTCTTAAAATATGAAAACAATCTAATATTATTCATTTCAACAGGTTGCTGAATTACTTCACTTCTACCTGAAGTTTGTGCTGATGATGATGTGTTCAGAAGAACGATGAAAGCTTCACGACCATACAATCCAGCTCAGAGAACAAAACCATCGAAATCATCCACCTGAGCTACAAATCTTTTCCACCATCCCACATTAAACACCACAAGCTGTATTTACCATAAATTGTAGTCTTAGTTTAATTTGAGTTATTGTATGTGGGGCATTTTCTTTTTCATGGCCGGAGTATAACAGAAGCTCTCCTGAAGTTAGTCGTTGTTGTCCAACTTGCGTCCAATGTGTTTCACTGATCCCAAGCACCTCTAGGTTGTATCTTCTCATTTCTGCAGCAATTTGGAAGACTCTCCCGGTCTCCCACATTGTCAGTCTTGTGCTGTTACGGGTATGAGTGCTGATGTCACTTCCCGGCTGCCCACACCGTGGAAGGGTATTTCTTGAAGAACCTGAAAATGAAATTGGATTAGTGTTGGTCTTGACGACCTGGGAGCGTGACCGCAGAGCCCAAGGGACAACTGCTTGAGGCCGGTCACGCACGGCCTTTTTGTGGAAGGTTTTTGACGTGTTAGCTCCGTTCTTCAAAGGACCTTACCGCCGGAGACGGAAATCCGTGAGGTAAGGTGAGGTGTGACATTTTTAGGGTCGACCTTTTCTAACCCCACCCCTCCTTGTGGGAAGGCAGCATCGCTGTCATGCTGGTTGTCTGAAGGAAACACCTTACTGCAGTCACACCTCTGTACAGTCAGCAGTACGACTTCGCCCTCAAACCTTGAGTTGCTGCTTTTAGTCTTACCGTTCACCAATCGACCTGCCTGGCATGGTAGAACCTGCAGGAACATATGTTCCAGCCAATATGGCTCGGTTGGGTCATCACGATAGGCAAGCCCGACCACCGCGTCAAGGTAGCAGCTTCGATCGGGCTCCCACATTGTACGAGTATTCCATGGTTGCTCTGGTTGTCAGAAGGGGCATCGGCCTCGTGACTTCCAAAAGAACTCGGCTTTCATCATGAGGCGTCATGGTTTTTCTAAATGAAGACCTTCTGACTCCGGAGGCAGAGTTTAAAATGTTTGAAGATTTTTTTTCTGGTAAGCGTTTTTTTAGCGATTTAGTTTTCTACGGGATGGGATCGCTAACCCCATGCCCGACCCTCCTCCTTTATCCGGGCTTGGGACCAGCAGTAGCCCCCGGAGGGACTCCAGGCGGAGTTAATTTGAGTTATCACAGCAGTGATATTGAAATTATCATCCTTTCAGTCGTTAACTCACAATTAACTGTAAATGTTCAACAGAAATAACAAACACTTTAGTAAATAAATCACTGAATATTAAATTGGATAATCAATACTCAATCCACCAAATTCAGTTTGATCAGCTGGATATTATCATCACGCACACCAATCTGTTACAGAAAATCGATCACACAAATTTGCACTTGATTTTAATCAGAATTTGAAACACTCATAACCGATATGAAGTGCATTATATTTTGTTAGTGTTTTAATAAAGAAGCACACATACATCCGTCCTAGTTATTTTCCATTAACACTTATTGATTATATGATCACAATATATATACCAAGGCATTTGTTGATTACTATACTTTCATAAGATATATACTTTTACATCATAATAATCAATCACTAAGCAGTGACCAATATCATATTTATCTAGATTTCAGAGCTACATCGATTTATATCAAGTACAAGCTACTGGTTTTCATTGACTCTACATAGCATCCACTAAATTTCAATGTTATACAGAATTCAATATTGGTGGAGTTTTGTTCTCTGAGCTGGATGGTTTGCTCGTGGAGCTTTCATCGTTCTTCTGAACGACATCATCAGCACAAACTTCAGATAGAATTGAAATGTTCGAATTTCTCCATATATGTTCCACAGCTTGTTCTGTGCACCTCGATGTTGATTGGTTCTTACTGACCTTAAACTTGTCATTGTTTACCTCTTTGTTTCGGTTGTGTCTCCCAGAATTCAATAAACGTTTACGGACTAGACAAATATAACGGTGATTACAGCTCAAGGACTCTTTAGCGAATATTACAGTCCTATAGGAGGTCATTCAGGACCTATCAATCTCTATGGTCGTAGTACTGTGTAAAGAAAGTTTCGAATCCCATAGAAACCACTATTCCTCTCAATATTATTGATACTCTTTGCTGACATGTATCAGCTGGTACAAACCACGAAGTTCATAGCCTTCACCCGATTGCCTCTAACAGCCTAATAATACTTTGAATTTTTTTTAAATGATATACTTTCTCATTGAATGTTAACTCTTTAGTTAAGTTATTGAAATTGAAGTGTCATATGATACCTTATAGATGTATTAATCTATTATTACAAAGATTAGATAAGAAATACGAAAGTTTCGATTCGTTTCAATCTTCTAAGTATTAATCAACTTTCTTTTAAGCAATATATCATTCTATCGTTAATGTTCAATACTACGGTCAATGATTTAACAGAGGTCAACTATCAACAATTAATCTTTATTAGACAACTTGTAGAGTTTAACCTATCTATAGAAATAAGAATGAAAATCAATAAATCTGAAGGAGAAAAAAAAGGTTAATTATTATTTCATTGTATTTACTGTTGAAAATCAGGAATGACCTTTTAAGGGGTTAATAAATCATCATACCCTTTTTCCTGTGTGCAAAACAATCTGACAAGGAAGTTATTCTATGTGTTTATTTCAATGTTTAATGATGTGCATCACAAATGTGCAGATAAAAAAAAAATCATATCTGTGTGTGTGTGTGTACGGGCCAACAACTCATAATTTCTGTGCTCAAAAATGCAAAATAGGTTAATGGTTAAAGACAATGTTTCTGCTAGAAAAAAAAACAAAGAAAAGACTTCATTTCTGTCTTAGTTACTATTATTCAATTTAGTTAATAGTATCTGTATTTATCACATTAGCAACAATGCAAACGGGACAATGATAATAAATGTTGCCATAACAATAAACCACCATTGTAGCAGTGTACAATTCACAACAACAACAACAACAAAAAGTTAAATTAACACAAAATGCCCTCAATATTCAATACTGATATATTTGTTTGTTGTTGTTGTCCTTTTTTATTATTATCTCAAAATGACCAATAAGGATAGATGAAAAAGGGTAAGGATGAAGTAAGAATTTGGGTCATCTGCAATGTTTACAATGTTTATCAAGTTTGTGTATGATATACAGAACATTCTACATATTACATTGTAATCTCCATAGTACATACTATACAAATGCCTACTATATAAATAATATACTAATGTAGCCCATCCCAAATGGCAGATGAAAACACACAAGTATACTAAAAGTTATAGCTTGAAATGAAATCTTCAGTGAAAATTACGTTTCAATATGCAATGTTCACTCATCAAATGAAAAGAAAAATAACTAAAAGTACAAGGTACAACACATTGTAGGGCCAGCGAAATGTCACTAAGCCCTAGCCAAATCATTCGGCAGTTGGGTCACTGAATATCGAACAAGTCGTCGATCGTCGTCAAGGTCAGGGACAACCAACGCGCATCAGTTAATCGTACGCCATGGACTGGCTCATGCGGCAGTGGTCTTACTTTCGCTTATATCTACCTTAGCTAATATATTTCTGTAATAACGTCCTCTGTCTTGTATAGTCTTCAAAGCATCTATGGTACCTTGATACGTCAATGGGGTAGTCCACGTAAGGTGCTGACCACGAGGTGTGACTTCGACGTTAGCTAGTTTGTCATACTATGCACGTCTAACTCGAGTAGGCCTCCAATCATTTTCGACATAGATCATCTACGTTGGTGATCTACAACATTATAGAAAATTGAAAACGAGACGGATCACTGCAACTCTCATTTCAAAGAAAAAAATCAATGACAACATACAAACAAATATATGATGAATCGTGAGGGCATTTTATTGATTTTAAATTACCATAATAATGGTTTACTATCATGGTAACCACTTATTATCATTGAAAATGTTTCTAATAACCTTGGCCTTAAATGAAAGACCAAATCTCACTAGGAATTAAATCGATAGATATTTATTTCAAATCTTTCACTGATTACTTAATAAATTAGTGGAAATTTTCAAAATTTGTTAGAAAATATGACTGGATTAACTGTGTAATACTGAAATTGTAGGAACGTCATTTTACAAGAATAAGGATAAATCAACTGTTTCTCAGTTTGACATCCCTCTATCTAGTGGGAATACACTTATTCCATATTTATTTTCATTATCCAGAATACCTTAAAAATTAGGCTATGCAACTACCTTGTCTATTATTTTACTAGACGATCTTCTCAAAGTTAGTACATTGGCGATTATCCAGATAATGAATTACAGATATAGAGTCAAAAGAAATCGTACACGTCCAGTATAGTCAACGACAATAAAGATCAATAGTTGTAATAACCTTGAATTATCCTAGAAATCATCACATCTTCCAACGAAATACTTGAAAACAACTGTGTGTTTTCTATGCATTAAATTCATAAACAATTCTGAATGTATCGTGAATATAATTCCTATAAGAGCGTTAGTTTTGTTTATCTTGTAGATATATATCTCTGAAGTGTCAACCTGAATGAAATCTACGGTAGACGAAGATTGCTTTAGATCTCTTTCAACAATCTATCACCAATATAAATTATTGAATACACAAAAGGAATTCTGTGAAAACTAAGTGATTTTTCTGCAGAGGAGAGCATTTCTAATAACGGAATAATCAAATTCCTTCAGAATAATATGATAATATGATAGTAACCTAGGCAATATCATCATGGCTGAAATGTCTCATGTTCGAATGAAACAACTGTCCAATACAGTATAACTTTTAATAGTTATCTAGCTGAATTCACTTTGTGATAGAAAATATTTTAAAACATGGTCAAATCGTTTCAGATTTCAAAATTTCACTATGATTATTGAATGAGATCAAGCCAGACAAAACACACAGTAATAGTTAGAACTTAAATTTGGATACAAAACGCATAATTTCAATTCTTTGTCTGGATTGTATCTCTTCACATTGTTCACATACATACATACCCACAATTTATGCATACAGATTCAGACATGCTTTCTTTATCCATCTATCCATTCCATTCTGTCAACTTAGTTTCGTGTTTCATATATTTTTGTGGTCAGCTAGACTTATGAGTCATCCCTCGTGGTCCAGTCAACCAACTGTGCACATGCTATTTTCGAAGACAAAATGGATTCATATCTGGAAATTCGTCGGTTGGTGTTTCAGTGTGTGTATATATATATAGCACATGTAAACCGTATCGAATTCATATGCGCACACTCACACGCACAGATACACACAAACTAAGGAACATGATACTGACAACAGGAAAACCTAATAGAAAGATCAGGTAATATTTACATACTGTGGGTCTGTTTTGGTGTTAAAATGTATGTTTTTGTGTGCAGCCTAGACATCTTGACAAAGTTAAATGAAAAATGAAGATAAATAACATTGTTTTAAACATGATAAATGTTGCCATTGTCTCCACTTCGATTCACATATTCAGATTGAATATAACGATGGTTTGAACATGAGAGACCATTGACCTTGTGTTAAATGAATCATTAGTGTGAGAGCTGATACCTAAAAACATTTCATATGTACACATAGTTAAAATAGATTTGTAGCTTGGTAAGAAAATTTTGGTGGTTTTTCGTCTCCGAAGGTCTAGAGCTCTAAAGACTTCATTGTTCTTTATCAGTTATCATTATCAATACACATCATAAAACAAACCGCTAACAATTTGTTCTAAATGGAGATTGAAAGCTACGCGCTTGAAAAATAGGGCTTATAGAAAGTCATACCAACATGAATGTTATATTGACGATAAAATGCTGATATTGTTAATCATTATTTAATAAACTTCTGTGTTACTTATTCAACATAGCAAAAGTTGTATGTCTCGTTGCAAAGAATGGGGGTAGATTGTAGATAAAGATTTAATCACAACTGATTATAACAGTATCAAAATGTACGTCAGTCAGTCCGTCAGCTGTAGGACCAGGCACATATATGCATCGGTCCAAGTTGCCATACCTCATTAACACAACAAGATGGACACCGGATTCATAAAAGTAGTTAATTCAGAGGTGGTAATATATACTCTCTCCCTTCCTCTTTCTTCTGGTGGTCGACTGGATTATGAAGACCTCGACATCTGAAGGAAAACACGGAATACAATGGACAGCTCAGAATCAATTAGACGATTTGGACTTCGCAGATGACCTAGCCCTCCTATCACGTACACACGAACAAATGCAGATGAAGACAGCCAGTGTAGCAGCAGTCTCTGCATCAGTAGGCCTCAGCATACACAAAGGGAAAACTAAGGTCCTCAAATTCAAAGCGGAGAACAGCAATCCAATCACACTTGATGGCGAAACTCTGGAAGATGTAGAATCCTTCACATATCTGGGAAGCATCATCGATGAACAAGGAGGCTCAGATGCAGACGTAAAGGCGAGGATCGGCAAAGCAAGGGTTGCATTCCTACAATTGAAGAACATATGGAACTCAAAACAACTTTCAACCAATATCAAAGTGAGAATCTTCAATACGAACGTCAAGGCAGTTCTACTGTATGGAGCTGAAACTTGGAGAACTACAACAACCACAATCAAGAAAGTACAAGTATTTATAAATAACTGTCTACGCAAGATACTCAACATCCATTGGCCGGATACCATCAGCAACAGCCTTCTGTGGGAGAGAACAAACCAACTTCCAGCTGAAGAAGAAATTAGGAAAAGACGATGGAAATGGATAGGACATACATTACGCAAATCGTCAAACTGCATCACGAGGCAAGCCCTAACTTGGAATCCTGAAGGGAAGCGGAGAAGAGGAAGGCCAAAGAACACATTGCGTCGGATAATAGAAGCAGATATGAAAGCGATGAATTACAACTGGACGGAGCTAGAAAGGATTGCCCAGGACAGGGTTGGATGGAGAACGCTGGTGAGCGGCCTATGCTCCTTCACGAGGAGTAACAGGCGTAAGTAAGTAATATATAAGAGAAAGATTGCA